CCTCGCCGAGCACGCTGCGCAGCGCCGCGCGCCACGAGCGCCGCAGCTTCGCCTTGAAGTCCTGCCCCGCCAGCACGTAGATGACGGGGTTGACGCAGCTGTTGATGTAGGCGACGCCGGCCACCACGGGGTCGGCCTCGGCGGCGCGCTGGAAGAGCGCGCTGTGCGGCGCCGTGGACGCCAGCACCAGCCCCACCACGTGGTAGGGCAGCCAGCACGCGAAGAAGCTCACGATGACGACGAGGACGAGCTTGAAGGCCTTCTGCGAGCGGGCGAAGCCCTTGCCGCGCACGCGGCTCAGCAGCAGCCCGTAGCAGACGGTGATGATGACGAAGGGCAGCAGGAAGCCGCAGAGGAAGCGCAGGACGGTGATGAAGAGCTCGGTGAGGCGCTGGTGCTGCCCGACGCGGCCGTAGTCCAGCACGCAGGTCTCCTTGTCGGAGAACTCGTCGCTGCGCGTGGTGCGGAAGACGAAGGAGGGGATGGTGAGGAGCAAGGCGAGGCCCCAGGCRGCCGCGCAGACCCCGCGCGCCAGCCCCGGCGTGCGGTGGTTCTGGCACCACACGGGGCGCGTGACCAGCGCGCAGCGGTCGCCGCTGATGGCCGTGAGCAGCAGGACGCTGGCGAACATGTTGAGGATGGTGAGCGAAGGCAGCAGCTTGCAGGCGAAGCGGCCCAGGTGCCAGTGGTGGTCGTGGGCCAGCGGCAGCGCCAGGAAGGGCAAGGCCAGGCAGCAGAGCAGGTCGGCCACGGAGAGGTTGAGGAACCACACGCCGTTGACCGTGCGCCGCAGCTCGAAGCCCGCCACCCAGATGACGGCGCCGTTGCCCAGCACGCCCACGAGGAAGATGACGGCGTAGAGCGCCAGGATGGCGCGGTAGCCGCGCGGCACCTCGTAGGCGTCGTAGTCGAACAGAGAGTAGTCGGAGTAATTGGCGCTGGCGTAAAGGGTGTCGTTGGGCGCCGAGAAGCTCATCCTGCGGGCGCTGCCCACCTGGAAAGCCGAGGCCGTTAGGAAGCGCCGCCCGCTCCGGCCGAATGGGCCGAGCACCGCCGGCACGCGCCGCGCGCGCAGGGGCACCCGCGCRCAGTCCGGCAGCAGAACGGGGTGCGGGAAGACACCGGTTCTTGCATCACCGTTTCCCTTGCCCGTCACCAAGGAAATACCGACTTCCCCAGCTCGCGCCGCGGGGTGGTTTTGYTCTCGGCGTGTCGCAAGAACCCGAGACGGGAAGCGCCGGGGGGCTGCGGCGGGAGCCGCTTCTGCCCCGGGACGGAGCGGGGACTTCTCCCTGCGCCAGGCATTGCCCCGAGGCAGGAGGCAGAGCCGGAGCGGCGGGGAACACGGATCGGGAAGCGCCGGGGTCCGGCGGGCGGCTGCGCGGCGCTGCGGCATTCCCGCAAGGAAACGGGCCGGCAGTGGAGCTTGGAGGCAACGGGGCTACCGGGAGGACTGCTGTGAAAGCGCCTGTTCCCGGCTGGAAAACCGGAGCCGCAGCAAGCGGAGGAGGGGGCCGCTCAGGGGCACCTCCTGGGGTCCCGTGGAGCGCTGACGGGGCCGCAAGGACCCCTAAAGCAGGCGCTCAAGCAACCCCCGGTCCCCCTACAGAGGCACCTCCARAAGAGGAGGGAGGCACAAGAAGGGATCGACCCGACTCAACTGAACCCAACCCAACTTAACGCAGCCCAAGAGAATCCAACCCAAGGCAACCCAAGGGAATCCAACGCAACCCAACCCAAGGGAATCCAACTCAACCCAAGGGAACCCAACCCATCCCAAGGGAACCCAACCCAACCCAAAGGAGTCCAACTCAAACCAAGGGAATCCTGGCCAACCCAAGGGAATCCAACCCAACCCAAGGGAATCCAACCCAACCCAAGGGAATCCAGCCCAACCCAAGGGAATCCAACCCAACCCAAGGGAATCCAGCCCAACCCAAGGGAATCCTGGCCACCCAAGGGAATCCTGGCCAACCCAACAGAATCCAGCCCAACCCAAGGGAATCCTGGCCAACCCAAGGGAATCCAGCCCAACCCAAGGGAATC